TTCTCACTTTTTTCAGAGTTTGCACTGTACTTCATTGTACAGTGTGACTTGACTTATATATTTTATTTCTTGAAAACATTGCTGAAATAAGCATCACAGTTTATAAATTAGGTTTCACAGGTACTATGAGAGAAGTCTCTCATAGTACCTGTGCTTATGTGACCTGTGACCAGGGTCACACAGCTAGTGAGTGATATGTGTCTGAGGCTGCATTTGAACTCGTCCTCTCGACTCCAAGGCCGGAGCTCTATCCACTGTATCACCTAGCTGCTTCGTTATCTTTTCTTAGAATAGAAACCTGGTGGAAGAATAGTGTCTTGCTCATGGCTCTCTATTTCTACCTTATGTAATTAATATTTAACATAAGAACTGAGGGAGAAAATTTTATTTATTCTCTGAGGGTGTCCAGCAGTAGGTCCAGTGGGTAGAAGTTATAGGACCATAGATTTCAGGTCAACATGAAGAAGAACTTTCTTCTAATTAGTTCTGCACAATTGAAATCAGCTGCCCGGTGATGTCAGTGCAGCAGTAGTTGAAGAGTTCAAGCAGAGTTGGAGCCGCTGTAGAGATCATTCCTGTATTCCTGGGATTTCACAAGGAATCCTGTCAATTGGCAGAATCCCAGAATTGGAAGGGACTTGGGAAGCTCTTTAGTCTAACTTGTACCTGAGAAGGAATCCCTGCCTAATAAGCTAAACCCAAGGAGTGGTCAGCTAGTCTCCACTGGAAGACCCCTGAGAACCAATGCAATACTCACTAGCTCCCAAGGCAGCCTGTTCTCCATTTGGACAGCTTGAATTGTCGGAAAGACAGAAGGAAACACAGACAAGCAGGACAACTTTAAGTTACATGTCAAATTTATTATATACTTAAGAGGAAAAGCAAGCTGTTTATGATAGAGATTCACAGTCCTTATTTTCATAATCCTCTTTTGGTCTGCTTCATACATAGAAATGCTCATTTTATTTGGTATTTGTTAAATCCCAAATAAAGAAAATTTTTCCTTTTATTAGGTTGAATTTTCTCTCTGCTACTTTTTGCCCCTTCTCTCCAGTTTCTTCTAGGTCTGCCATCTAGGTTGAGACAGAACAGGTCTTTAAATATATGGATAGGCCCTTAAATACTTAAGGACAGTTTAGATTCTTTGAGTCTAAACTACTTTTGGCACTGAATTAGTTTGCTTTACTTTCCTAAGAATTTTTTAAATTTTTAAATTTTTAAATCTTAGCTGTTGTTTTATTTTATTTGTCTGTTGTACAGATTTGGGTGCAGTCTCATTTTAGTGACAGACAGAAATGAAAGCCTTGCAAGGTGGACAGAAATGGTCTTCTTGCAGAGTTCTCTGTGAGCGGATGGAGTATTGAGCAAGCTTGTCTTTTGACCTCATGGTTCCTTAAAATGTTTGCAGAAGTGCAAGGTTCTTGTTTACCATTGTTTTGGAATGGGAGAACTTAGTGAACCAGCCTTCCACACATGAGAAAATGCCTTCAGCCTCACTTACCAGAAGTACACATCCGCCTTTCCCAGAAGGCCCTGTTGTAGCTATATAGTCCAGTGCCCCCAGGGATGCTGAAAGGTTAGGAGGAAGAGGACTCTAACGTACTCACCATCCATCATGTTCTAGCTGCCCTTGCTTTGGCTTTTATGTTCCACAAGATGGCTAATGCCAGACTGAGCTTAAAATGAAACTCTGTGTGTGTGTGTGTGTGTGTGTGTGTGTGTGTGTGTGTGTGTGTGTGTTTGAACTTATCTTTCCTATTTTAGGCTCCTGAATGAACTGCTTCCTTATGGGGCCAGTCTGTTTTCAGTCTGATTTCAATATTGGTCAGCACCTTCTGGTTCGGTGTAAATCATTTATTATCCCATTTCTTCTCTTTGTTGAAGCATGGATTCTAAATGATCATCTATCAAATCTACAAAATTAGCTTTCTTTCCCACCATGTGCCTTTTTCTTCTCAAAGTTGTGTCGGGGGGGGGACGACGACACACAAAGGCTGAAGGAAGAATCATTTCAGTTATATTTTGGTTAGATTTTGCTACATATATTTCCAAGATGATAGAACACAGGGTCTGAGCATCTGAAGAACCCTTAGAGATTGGTACTTTAGTGTTTCCCAGCCCAAACTTTGGTTCAGACCAGTAAAAACGTTCAGTTATCTACTGTCGGATCACTTTGCCTTTGTAGCCTCAGCACTGCAGTTCTGGGGACAGGGACTGCAAAGCCTTAGAGGAGGGAGCTGGGAATAGAATGAGCAAGACTAGTTTTAAAAGGAGAAAGATAGTTTTACAAATATATGAGTCTTAAGGAGTGGGATCTAAGTTTGGCCACAAGAGATAAGAAGGTGCCTCCTTCCTCTTTGAAGGGGCAGGAGATGCTGGATATGGAACACTGAACAAAATATCTGACTTTTTTGATGTCAGTTTTTCTGCACTCTTCTTTATTCTTTACTATACGTGATTGGTCTCTGGGAGTAAGTTTGGAGAGATATGTTGGAAAATGTAGATGATGTAAAATCAAAAGGTAATTATTAAAAATTTAAAAAAGGGTTTAAAATATGGGGACTTTTGTTGTATTGTGGACCAATAAAAATTTGCCATAGATTTACAGCTAAGAAAAACACTAATCTAGTCAAACCCCTTATTATGCTGATGAGGCTCACAGAGGGTCTGCCACTAAGTAGCCATATGACCTTGAGCAAGTCCCTTTACGCTCTCTGGGCCTCAGTTTCCTTATTTGTAAAGTGAGGAAATCAAATATTTTTTTTTTGCACTTAATAGTATTTTCCCCCCAATTACGTGTAAAGATAGTTTTCAACGTTCATTTTTGTAAGATTTTGAGTTCCAAATTTTTCTCCCTCCTTCCCTTCCCCCCCTTCCCGCAACAGCAAGCTCTTCTGGGGTGTCTTAGAATTGCCTGTAGTAACCTCGAATTCAACTGATCAGAATGACTGTGCTTCTAGGAGAAACAGGAACATGATTACAAAACAAGCAAGCCAACCTTGATATGAGGGCCTAATGCTCAGCACAGCACCTGGTACATGGTGAGTGTGCCAGATACATGGCGTCAGAAGACTTGGGCTCAGCTTCCCTGGCCCTGACTACCATGTGACTGTGGCGAGTTGTGTAGCCTCTCTGGGCCTTATTCTCATCAAGTATGAAAGGAGGAGTTGGGCTACATGACCTCTAAGCTAACCCTTAAAGCCCTAAGTCTACAGTCCCATGATTTTCATTTTAAACATAATTGGAGGGGGAGGAGCTGTACCTTGTGCACTTTGCCGTGGTGTTAGCTGTGATTTTAAGCAGTGAAGATTGATGAAAAAGAGTAATGTTGTGGAAAAACATCAGGCTTAAAGCCGAAAGGCTTGGGCAGGGGAGGGGGAGTTCCAAACCTCAGCCTTGCCAGTTACTACATCTGTGACATTGAGCAAGTCACTTTCCTGCTTTGTGCCTCTGTGTCTTCATCTATAAAATGGGAGAGTGGGACTAAATTCTGTACTCGTCTCTAAGTCCTATCTATGACCCATCAGTGCCATGATATTCAAAATGAAGATTTCAGGGTCCTGCCGAAACCTCAGTCATCAGGAAGGAGTTAGTTACCTTTGTTTTACTAAGGCAAGAAATTGGATGAGTACATCTAAGAAAGATTTTCAACAATCTTTGCTGAAACATAAGGTCTTTTTGGTTGCTTCTATGTCAACCAAAGCAGCCCCTGAGCACTTCAGTTAGATGAGGTTTTACTGCAATGTTTTTCTTCCTCAAACTGTAGCTTATTTCTGTGAATGTTATTCATCTCAACAGTTCTGAGGCAAGGCAGGAGCGATAGAGACCATCTCCAATCAGATGGTTTGGGGCCCTAATGCCTGTTGATAAGGGGGAGACTCTTTCCCCTTAGAAACAACCCTATAAATCATTGTTATATTCCCAGTCTAGCCCACACAATAAACAGCTCAAATTTCAAATTTCTTCTCAGTTTGCAAAGTGCTTTTCTTAGGATAATTTTAGGAGTGTGCCAAGTACGTATGTAACATTATTTGATCCTCACAGTGAGCATGTATGGTCAGGAATGTAAATATCCCCATTTTATAGAGGAGGAAATGGGCCCAGAAAGGGTAAGTGAGTTGTCCAGGGTTTCACGAGTGGTAAGTGGCAGAGGGGATGGGGTATTCAAACCCCAGCCCATCAAATGCCAAATCCAGAGCTCCTGCCACTCTTGTTACTACTATAGAGAGGAGAAAAGGAGCAAAAGTTAGTATTTTTCTGTGTCTGTTTCTTGTGAATTTATAACTTTTAAGAGAGATAGGTAGGTCTTGGATATAAGGTCACACCAGGACTTCAAGTGATTTGAGTGTTGTTTTGTAATGTGCTCAATTTGTGAAGCAAAAGGACAGAATAGATCTGACATGAGGGTGGTGCAGAAGCATATTCAACTCTCTGTTACCTTTGCAGAGTCCTGCCCCCTCTTTGGATCTCAGCATATCCTCGTCCCTAAAACAAGGAGGTTGAACTCAGCAAGCTTGAAGGTTCCTTCCAAATCTGGATGTTCTGTGATTCTATTACCCAGACTATGACCCGAGATCCCCTGAACCTCACTGAGATCCCCTAATTCTGGTTGCTCTCATGGCATCACTGAGGTTGCGAGCGGCAGCAGCAGGGGAGGATATTACAGAGGCCATTTGTGTGAATTGCTTAGAACTGTGTGTTCAGAAATAAGTTTTCTTTTCTCTTTTTGTAAAATGGGGTGACAGAGGCACAGGGCCATGAAATTACTGAAGATTTAGTCAGGCAGTGTAAATGTGGGGCAGAATTATAGGGCTCCCTGTTCCCTGACAGGTGCTCTTCCACGTATTTGCATTCTTGTGCTACTCTTGGTTAGCCACGTCCCTAAATTAAGTGTCCTTTATTGTATGATGCTGATTGATGTCATTTAATGGAGTGTAAGCTCACTCTATTACCTGCTGCCATTGTATGAATTTTAAATTGTCTGTTGTCTTGCTGTGCAGGGCCTTGATCTCTGCAGCATGGTGGTGCAGTTGGGTCAGTGATTAGTGAGCTGGGTCTGGAATGAGGAAGAGGAGACCTCAGATACTGTGTTGCCCCAGGCAAGTGGCTTAACTTCTGTCTCAGTTTCCTCATCTTTAAAATAGGGATAATAATAGCCCCTACTTTCCAAGGTTTTGGGAGGACCAAATGAGATGATATTTGTAAAGCACTTAACATAATGCCTAGCACATAGTAGGCTTTTAATAAATGCTTATTTCCTTCCTCATGCATAATATTTTTTTTATGTAGTTCATCTCTCCTTTTTTCTTCTGTCGTAAAAGTGTTCCCTGTTCAACTCTTCCCACCTCTTCGGCAGCTGTTTCCTCCTTTGTGTGTCATTATTTCTACTTGTCATTGGGTTGCATTATCCTTCATTACATACCTTCCCCTTGTCAGATGCACGAAATTAGTAGACCTTGTAGCAGCTGCAGAACCCACACTCTTCTTTCTTCGGACCTTAGGAAGTCACCTCACATCCTAGACTTTCTTGGGTTGTGTGAATGGCAGTGTTTAGAGGAGGGCACTGCGGCTAAGTGAGTATGTAATGGGGGGCTGTAAAGAATACTTTCCAGAAGAAAGCAAGCTGCTTAAAATCCGTGTTTTCCTGTGAACCTTCTAAGGCAAGCTTCCGTCCAGTGTTCTTCTATTCTTCAGGACCAAGACTAAATCCTTTCTCAAGAGGGACTAAATTGGCTTATCTCTGAGAGAGTTTTGGACATTTTTACTTCCATCTCTCTCTACCTGTTTCCCTTATCTCAGAAAATGACAGTTGTAAGTAAAAGGGGAAAGTTTGAGAGCCACATTGGCAGCTAGCAGGATTTAGAAAGAAGCTTATAGCAGATGCTCTTTGCTTAATGGGAGAAACTGAATCAAAACTCCTTGAGTCTGTTTGAGCTTCTCTAGGTACACTCAGCCATGATGCTTTAGGGCAGTGCAACCTGCCCACGTGGCCTCTTAGCTTTATCCAGTCATATCCCACCCCATCTGCCCACTCTTCTGCTTAGGTGAAGAAAACACAGATATATATCTCTGTTCAGGACATAGACTGTTGGAGTTGGAAGTGACATCAGAGGACATTCAGTCAATCCTCCTGCCCCTTGCACAAATCACCTCAACTACGTTCCTAAGAAATAGTGTCATTCAGCCTCTGCTTGAGCACTTTTAGTCATGGTGAGCTCACTATCTCCCAAGGTAGTTTATTCCATTTTCAGACTGCTATAATTTTTGGTAAATTCAAAATCTAGAGTTCTCTTGAATGAGTATTTCCTCTTCCATATGACAGCCCTTCAGCTGTTTCAAGACAGCCATCATATACCTCATCCCAAGTCTTTCCTCCAATTCCTTCACTTGTTCCTAATGTATTTTCAACCCATTATTATCCTGAATGAATATGTTGTAGATACTTCTCCCAAAATCTTTGATATATTAGGATAAAGTCCTAGCAGTAGAGTCCCTGGGTTTACAGCTCTGATCAGTTTTGTGATTCTTAGGTTTGTTGCCATGTTACTCTCTAAAGTGTTTGCATCAGTCTGCAGTCCCACCAGCAGTGTATTAGAATCTATTTCCTCACAGTCCTCCAGCAGTCAGCTGCCAGGCCCCATTTGAAAACCTTTGTGGCTTGGGTTGGATCTGCCGGAAATTGCTTTCTGCTGGCATAGCCTGAGAAGCCAGAGTCACCTCCAAGGCGTGACAAAACAGCAGAAGAAGGCTTTCCTGGAAGGTCCTGAACATATTAATAATGCTTGTTGAATGAATGAGTAGCAAACCTTGTGTGTGTGTGGTACTACCCTAAAGGAAACTTGAGTCATTAGCTATAGTCTGCCACTGCTCCAAATGGTATAAAGTCATGCAGGTGAACACTAGTTTGGGGGAAAGGTTTTTGTGGTTTCTCATGGAGACATTATTGGTATTTCTGGGCTGGGGCCCTGTGTTATGGCATCCAAGTGCTGTTTCTTAGAAGGTACAAAAAGACCATGGTCACCCTGGGGTGTCATGTAGAGAATTGATGAGGTTTTAACAGTGGGTTAAATGATGAGCAGATAGCCTCCTTCTTGGTGTAGGTTGGGAAGTAGCAGGGAGTCCACCATAACTGACGCACACTTCATGTTTTTACGGCTAGTTTTGCTCTTAGCATGATGGTAGTAATTAGCTAGCCATATATACTCAAGGAGTCAATGCTGCTGACTTTTTTTGTGAAATGTGATCTTTTTACTGTTCTTGAAACCTAAATTTACAGCTCCTAAGTGAGAATAGCAGTGTGAAAATAGCACATAGTTCTCCAGGAATCCTTCTTTCCTCAAACCCAGGCACTGGCTTGTCCATGACCTTGTGTGCCTGACTCTCCGCGCTAATGTTGTAATTTGGAGCACGTGAGCCGTTGAGAAAGTTTTTATGGACTCGCTCCCGAGGAGTTGGGCATTTTGGAAAAGCCATATATATGTGTCCGTAGACAGATTTGAAATATGACTGTTATTCGGTGACATGAAGGTATGGGAGGTTTTGTGGTACAGCAGAGACTGAACTTGGAATGAAATGGGTCTTTGAGTCCCCACTTCTTATCTATGAGGATCGTGGAGGTCACCTGCTCTGACTTTGACAGAGAAGCTGAGTCTCTGGAGGTAAAGGACCTTGCCCAAAGTAACACACAGCTAATAAGCAGCAGAGCCTACATTTGAAATTGGTCTCCTGATTTCCCCTCACCTAGCTGGGACTCAGTGTCTTAGGGGACAGGGTTGCCCTGTGTGGTTTTTGAATCTCTTTCCAGCTCTGACACCCTGTGGTTTTGTATTGGGTTAAGACTTCAGGTAGAATGAGTCCCAGCTAGCGATTGTAAGGAGGACTTGAGGGCTCTGTTTTTGGGACATCTGGTTCTATATCAGCCTAGCACCTAAGTACTATTTCTATAAAGGAGATTCTCATTTATTATTGCTTTGAGTTTCTGAGATCTAATGCCCACTTTTCTCGGTATTATTTGCCTCCTTCAGAATTTCTGTTAAACACTGCTTTTTCATAATCTAGTATCTCAAACCTGCAGAGTTTCACTATTGCTGTTTCAAGTACAAAACCAATTTGCTTTGAGGAGATAGTGTCAGGCATTGGATTGTGGGAAATAACTCAGTCTCTTCTTCCTCTTGCTCACTCCCTTGTTCTTCCTCAATATAACACCATCTGTCTGTTACCCACGTTACATTTGTGGAGTGTGGCAAAGAGGGAAATTAATATGTGCATTGCCTGTAAGTTCTGTGGCAGATGTCTACAATCTTAAACCACTTCTTTCTCTCTGTGACTTCCAAAGAAGAGATGGCTAGTAATTCAGAGCATTTAAGAGAGATCACTCTAATCCATTGCAAGAGGATGGAGGAAATGATTCTGTTACAGGTCTTTGTGTTCAGCATGGGTCTGAGAATTTCATTGTGTTCAAGGAGTATTGTGAATTATTTGGCAGCCTGTGGCTTAGCCAAGCAGAGACATCAACCCAAGTGGAAAGCAGCCTATTGCGTGTAGTCCTGTGATGTGTTTTATAGACCTTGTTGGGGGAGGAGGGTGATACTGTAAACAGAAGCCTGGGCTTCGCCTCTACAGATCTCTTATTGTTCAGTTGTGTCGGTTGTGTCTGACTCTTGGTGACCCCATTTGGGCTTTTCTTGGTAAAGATATTGGAGCGGTTCACCATTTCCTTCTCCAGCTCATTTTACAGATGAGGAAACTGAGGCAAACAGGGTGAAGTGATTTGCCCAGGGTCACACAGCTAGGAAGTGCCTGAGGCCAGATTCGAACTCAGGAAGATGAGTATGCCTGACTCCAGGTCCAGCATTCTATCCGCTGTGTCACCTAGCTGCCACCACATGTCTCTTACTGGTAGGAAAACTGAGATCCGGGAACAGTTGTAAAGCCCCTTAACCAGATAGCAGCTACCAGACTCAAAAATAATAGGAGGTTGAGAGGAAGTTTACACTGCTTTGCTGTCCCTCTCTTGGGCTTTTGTCTTCTCATTTAATTAAAGGAATACAGTTATACAGCCTATGGGTTTGGGTTCTGATGTTGTCAAATAACAGGAAAAGAAAGCCTCTTGGTGCTCCCCAGTAGTCTGAAGGAACTAATAAAAGTTCTACACCATTGAGCTTCTCTGGTCTCTATTCTAGTGGAAACATAGAAGTTTTATGGCATTCTTCTCCTTTGGAAGCCCCTCTATGGACAGAGTCTTGGCCAGCATAATAAATAACCAGCCCTTTCCCTGACCCTCCTCATAGGACCACGATGGGCCTCCTGGAACATTGGTGTATTCATCTGTATCCGATGTGCAGGAATTCACAGGAACCTCGGTGTGCACATTTCCAGGGTGAAGTCAGTCAACCTAGACCAGTGGACACAAGAGCAGATTCAGGTAATGGACACAGCCCAGTTAGCACAGAGCCACAGACATGACTGCTGGTAAGCGTTCCCTTCCGGAGAGGGTGGGTCACCAAAGATGGTAGGTGAGCGAGCACGAGGGCCACAGAACAGCCCTTCATTTAACAGTAAACAAAATAAGTTGTAAATTGATGGTTGTCAGGAATTACTGTGGCCAAATAATATGTCATCTGGCGATGTGACTTTCCAAGCTCAGTGGATATGATCTCTTGCTCAGAAGCCTTTCCGGCTTGTCAGCAGAGCTTGTGCTTCGTCTTCAGAAGCCCAAGGTTCTTCCACACCGCAATGAGGAATTCGTTGGAAAAGGACACTAGTGGAGGAAGAGAAAAAGCGAACATATTTTTTAAACTGCCTTTAGGTCCAAACAGACAGTATTGTTTTATCGAGGGGTTGTGATCTTGGTTGGTGGAGGGAATATTCACATGGATAAAATTACAGATCACTGATATATTGACATGATGACAATCAAAATGTCTTTAACAAGCAGTATGACCAATGGGAAGCATGGTGTTTTTGATAGAGCGGATTTGGAGTTAGGAGACATATATCCAGATGCTTCACTTGGAACATTAGACAAGCCTTTCTCCTCTCTGGGTCTCAGTTTTCTCTTCTGTAAAATGAGGATCTTGAATTAGATTGTCTCTAAG